GGACATAGCTCTTCCGTTCGTAACCTTCGCCTATAACTCCTCGCGTCATGAAACAGCGGGCTACTCCCCTTTTTATTTACTCTTCGAACGTCATACCTTACTGTCCTTCGACACACTGCTTTCATCATACCACCCATCCTCCACTTCGTACGCTCAGGATGCGATCACCCGTGCCCTCACGGCACGCGCGGTAGCGTGCGCTCGGTTATCTTCGTCGCAGACAGCACAGAAGTCCCTTTATGACCGTCGGCATAGAGATGCCGTTTTTTCTGCGGGATCTCTTGTTCTCCTGTGGCTCCCATCTCGACGTGTTGGCCTCTGCGAGAAACTACTATCGTGATACGCTGGGCCCTACTGAGTCATTCGTCAGGTCACACCTGTGACCTACGAGAATGCCGCTACCACAAACTCATCAGCTGCTGCACCCAGAACGGAAGTAGTCCACATATCTCGTCTCAAGCCCCACAACGCGGACTCGCTCATTTAACAGGCACCGAGACGGTACCTTACGGGCCGGGGTGATGATACGTGTATGGAACTGTCGCCCCGACACAGCTGAATTGGCACCCAAATGAAGAAGGCGACAACGTGGTTGTTGTGGGTTGGACTCTCGAGTTTCTCCCGTTGGCCTGCATGACTGTGTGCTCTTTAAGCCGTTAGCAAGACCAGCTCTCGGTGAATAAATCTTCCCCGTAACAATATCATCAGCAAAAGAGGGACTCTCATCGCCTTGAAAGTGACACCAGCGACCTGCCAGTCTTCAGCAACACCAGCGCTGCTTGGAAGAAAACGGGCGATTGGAAACTGTACGTAAAACCAATTACCCTTTTCCTAATAGTCCGTTGCATACGTGGTCTGTGTTGAGGCTGCCTAATATTATTAATACAACAACGCTCAAGATCACGTGCCCTAACGCCCCTCCCATCGGCATCTACGGAGGGAGTTGTTTTTGTGTTTTGCCTGGGTAACAGACGCGTTCATGTAAATTGCCCTATTGACTGTGCAAAAACAGCGTTCTTGGCCGAGTAAAGATTGCGTTTTACGTACTCGGATTCACGAACGTCAGGCGCCCGCTCTTGGCTGATCGGTGCAGAAATTTAAGTTCCCCATTGTTGCCTTCGCGGCAACTAAAGAAAGATATAACGTTAGCGTCTCCAGGAAGTTCTTGCTTCTCTAAAAGAAAGAAAACAATGATGCCAATCAAGTATGACCAAGTGTGGCTTTGCGTTGTTCCAATCGCCCAGTACCCTGCCCGGCCGTACCTTTTTTTTAACAAATCTCAGCACTTCAAAGAAGCAGCAAGGTTCGTGTTCAAGAACACAAAGAAGCTTCGCGTTCTTTGCCTTAAAATGAACATTGTATTTATTTTCTCCCATGTAAATGTAATATTTATTGCATGATGGTTGTGCGAAAAAGTACATGTTCGATGCACTTGCGAAACCGAAATCGCACGAAAACGGACGATTTGGCGTAGTAACACCTGTGCGGAAGCTCTGCCCTCATTGCTTTGGGTGTGCTGCCACAGAAAGTTGTCGCCGAGTTACAGTGTACTAGAAGAGGGCAGTAAACTTACTCCACAGCTACTCTGACGCTTTTGGCGTCACATAAGAGAGATGGCGCCACAGGCATCTTCAATGGAAGCTTCACCTGCAGAAGCTGCTCGCCGATGGCCACTCGTAAAAGTTGGAACGTGCGTTTATTCAATATTTGTAATAAACTTGCATCCTTTGACTGCCCTCTGATTATATTAAGAGCTTCTGGTGCTCTCGCTTCACAGTGTTTTTCTTTTCTTTTGCGATGCAACTTCCCGAAAATTAGTCCGATGGCAGCCGGTGCAGTCTGTGCATTCTCCATTCTAGTGCGACGCAGCTAACGCTTTTTGTGGGGGGGGGGGGGGGGGGTTCGGAGGGTGTGTGCTCGAGTTAGTAGAGTATTCCTGATAATCACTATATTTGTTTAGGCCACATTGTGTTTCCTCGAATATAACACCTCGTCGAAAAGTATGATGTATCCCACAAAAATATATGGTTTGATACAGTGACCAAACGTACGGTTCATGCTGTGTAGACCGAACCTAAAAAGAATTCGCAACAAGATTATGCCCGCCCTTTCATGACATAATTAGAAAAACAGTGCACGTTCACTTCCTAGAAAAGCTTTAACATGCAGGCGTGCTGGCTGGGTTTGCGCCTTTATTATAAAGTGAAATTGTAGTGCTTAAATAATTTTTGTTCTGCTTTGGTTGTAGACCATGGCACAACAGTTTTTCTGGGGGTTATTAATAATCAAAATTATGCATAAACACGAATGTTAGACATATGTAGAGCGACATAGTGAAAAACTAAATAAAGATACACACGAAGCTTCTGCTCCTGACATGAAGCTCTTATTTGCAAGAACTGAACTACACCATCTAGCCACTGATTTACACACCTTATTCACTTCATGTGTGACGGCTCATCTTCAGCTGCTTGGCCCTCCGCCGCTTCCCTGCCTAATTGTCAGTGTTCAGTCCTTTCAAATTTAATCAAGACGTGTGACAACGTAAAAAGTAATTACTTTCGTTTTGAGGCTAGCTGTGTGCACAATGCAACCAACTTCAATCGAGAGTCTGCGCTGAACAATTGTCAGTATGTCCATATAGCTATCAGAGTGCAGCTTACTCTGGCAAAAACATTCTGTGAAAATATCCTCGAGCTTTTTCATGAAGCTATACAGCTGACTTGAGGGATGAAGGAGGCCTCCTGGGTCACAAAAGTTGGTCAGCCGAACAAGTTGAAAACAGCTTCGGCGTGGATAATGGGTGAGGTATGCGCACTTTTTTTCCATCGATAACATGCACAGACGTGGTTGCAAGTGGAGTTCGCAAACTGCGTTAGTGTCTTCCAGAAGCTTGTCCGCTCTGTGCTGGTTCTTCTCGCATTATTTCGGTCTGTTTTCATCCTTTAGGATGCCAAACAATGGCAGGTGCTGCTTACTCTTCATGAACACATTGCCTGTTAGACAACCAAGCACCTAACAGTGGTTTTGCCGTTGTCGCGGCATGGTTACAGTATGCACTGTAAAGCATACTGTCATCTTGCGTGGTGTGTAACGCTCAAAGCTGACGGCAAAAACTCAGCGCAACAATGTCCACAGCCGCACAACGTGGCTCAAACTCAGTTGCTCTGCAGGACTTGACCGGCTCACAACCGGCTCAGCTGCAACGTCCCTCCCAAAATTTTTCCTTTGATGGCGATGCCAGCTCCGCCGCTCGTGCGACCAGAGAACCACAAACGTGCGACATTTCTGGAGCCACCCCTCTGCATACCCTCCACCGGAGAGTGAGCACACTGCCCCCTTCTAGTACACTGTAGCCGAGTATAGGCGTTTTTTTCTTGGGCGCTGCCATCATGCTAGCGGGCGGCCGTTTTCTGGTCTGGCAACCCATCTGACATGCGGGAAGCTCACTGTTTGTATAGAAGATAAGCATGCGGCTGCGGTTTTATCTTTCATTCGTAATTTTTACTCGGTGAATTTCTACTGAAGTGATGCAGGTTCTTTACAAAATTAGTCTATGAGACGTTCTGACAAGGTTCAAATCGTTGAGCGAGGAGGTGGAATAAACTTTATTATAAAAAACCAGCAGGTTTAGGTGCCCGGGCCTAAGGCTCCCATGAGGGGACGTCAAGGGCTCCCATCGACGCTGCCTCACGGGCGTGCTGGGTCGCACAGGTTTGGTCGTAAAGAGCGGTGCTCCGCAGAGCCTCATGGAGCTTCGACGAAAGGGTCGTGGCGTTAATGTGTCTGTACTGTGCCGGGCAACCCCACAGCATGTGCGGAAGCGTAGCGTAATTTATTTTTTATACAGCTCCGCGAACGAGTCCGCCTCGTTCACAGCACCGACTTTGAGTATATTCACAGCACCGACCTTCTTTTTTTAAAATGCACAGCGTTTTTAAGTCTCTCTTTTCCAGAATGAGCAACAACACTTTGAGAGGATAGTGAATATCTTTCTTGAGCTGTAGTCATTCGCTTTTCAAAGATCGATTTATTTACGCCACGCCATAGCATCGGCTACCGCTCTTGCATGAAGCCGTGCATCGGAGTTTAGTGGTTCGTCGTTATTTCTTGGCACTGGCGTTTTTTATTAACTGCGCACTAAGTGTTGTCTAAATTGTTTCTTAACTCTGAAGGAGTGACTATATCTCACTCGCTCGTTTGTTTTCACAGGTGTGCACTTGAATACAGCTCTTACATCAAACGACGCTGACGCGCCTGCGCGTCCCCTTTTTTTCTTTTTTGGCGCAGTGCTTCCCAGTGCACGGATAGGCAATACTGCTGTCAGGCAATGTAGCTAATCAATGCAGATGATTGGGCCAGTTGGTGATTCATAATCGAGGAATACCGTGCGATTGAGAACAAGGACGACAAGTAAACAGGGACCTGCGCAGTCTCGTTTCGGGTACGCGGCTTGTACACTGACGCCGTCCGGAGCTGCTATTTAGCGGGGGCTACAAGCTTTAGTTGATGCTTCACTTATAGAACAAAGAGCCTAGCCTGTGGTATGACTATGCTTGAGATTATTACGGTGTCGGTCACTGCTCAATCTCTGGAAAAAGCGGTAGTTGAAGCAATTAACTGGCCATGCACTCCAATTAGTGACTCAGACTGCTCTTCCGCCTCGATCGAGCGCAGTCTGGATCGAGCTTTCCATTTGTTTTTTTGTTTTTTGGAGCTATTGACGTATTTGCGCAATCTGCAGAAATGAGTGAACCACCGCCGACAAATTTATAGCAGATAGTTCTTTATCACGATCTTAAGTGCACTTGTATCGCTGCACAGCAGACTATTTGGTGACCAACGCTTCGTTGGCACAAGCTCTTTCTTCATTATTCGTCACCGTGGTACTTTGACCTGCGATAGAGAGAAATGTTACGTGATGCTGATTATCAGGGAAATATTGTCATCGTTGGAATAGCTGTAGGCTGCAATCCTTCCGTTTATACCCGATGTTGAACATGGGTGTCGAAGTCGTTGTGGTTAGTTCACCTGAGAAGAAGTGCTCTGAACATACGCGAGTACCTGCGGAAGGTACCAAGTCTTTCCTGTTGCAAGTCATAAAACAGCTGCTCCTCGTCAACAAGAAAACTGTGGAACTTGAAGAGTCCACAGCCACAAAAACTCCGCGTCTGGTGATGCACATGGCATATTTCTTCCGACAGCAGCTTCCTTTTTTCTGTAGTTGTTACTGCACACAAAAACAGCGCAGTGGTTCCCTGATGACCAATTTTCGGCCATTATAGCAATTAAGAAAAACAAAATCCGCCGCTTTGCTTAATACACTGCAATTTGCTCGAAAACGCCACACATACCAGCATCAACACACACCCTACAAGCCGTCGCCTGCATGCCGGAGAAGAGGAACGCGTTGGTGGCCAAACCGGACCTCTTTGCATGATGCAAAGGTCTATACATTAAGCGCTGATGGTCTACCCCCGTCACTTTCCACAGCGTTACAAGACGCGCGCCAAATCAGACTACTTCGTGTAGTGCTACATGTGCAGAAGCTCCGCCTCTACAGCTTTCCCTTCAGTGCCAAGAAAAGTTGTCACCGAATATAGTATCATTAAGATAAGTGAAGAAATATCACTATGAAGACGCATACGCAAATGCATCTCTGCGAAACGTACGCAGGTAGTTGGTCACGAGATGATGCACGGATACGACGTGAATGGCATACTCCTGGACGCCCTCGGTAGCCGCATTCTCGACACGGACAGTCTGTCCGCACAACAGTACCAGCTAAGGTTGCTCTGTTTGCGTCAAGCCTACAAGCAGGTAAGGCAGCAGCCATCGCTCACTCTTGTGGTGCGCGTTAGTGGAAAGAAAGTTATTTTCATCCACTCTACAGCCTTGGTGCTCATCCATCGATATTATCACAATAAAGTTTTCAGGCAGATATGGGCAGCGTGTAATGTTCTTAGTTCATGACGCTATAGCTTCTTTTCCCAATTCTCGTGTCAGTCGTAACACTACTGTTCGATCAGTACACTGCCTTTTGCAACATTGCCTTTCGCATTGTCTTTTCAAAGATTTTTTTCTCGAATTTTCCAACAGCTCAGGCACTACCGGAAAGTTATTGTGGGGCGTGTACCGACGTTGGACTAAATCTTTATTTCAGTGCTAAAGAAAAAATGAACGCGTGATAGGCAACAGGATAACCGTTTTATAATAACCTGTTTATTGTCTTTGGTTATACTGCAATATACAGGGTGTTTTTATAATAGTTAGGCACTTCTGATCTTCGCAACTAATTTCTAGGCCAAGGTGGATATACTATTTAGATTACTCAGGAATGATTACTAAACAAAGAAAATCGCACCATATCTACGGAATAAATGAAGATTAATGGGCGAAGCTCGAGAGAGGGGAGATCATCGGTAAACCATAACTCTCCCATGAAAATTTAGCCCATTACATCATTAGAAAGACGTAAGGAGTAAGCCTGCACGCATATTATACTAATCACTTTTATTTTGCTTTTATTCGTTTGTTTTTCTTTCTTCGTTTTATTTCTTCGTTGTCAAAGTGGCTATAATGCGAGGTCCCTTTATTATTATGTCTTCATGGTCCGTGAAATGAAGTGAGAGAGGTTCTTGTACTGGCTGCAGTGGCAAGTTTGCAAACACTAAGTCTATATATGCACGTCCCTCGAATCGTAGTAGGTTGCATATGGACACATTTGAATACGTATTTGGAAAGCTTGTGCTGCACGATGCAGTCATTGGCAGTGAGTTCCGTCCGTACGTTCGTCTGTCCGTCCGTACATCCGCGCGTCTGTTAGTCGGTCCCTCTGTCAGCCACTCACACTAGCGCCACCTGCTGAGTGAGTCATACAACTCGGTGGTTACGAACCGGTCACAGAAGACATGCATGGACAGACCCAACGCTTTGGGAGCTTCGCCCCTAAACTTTTCAAATTAGCTTTTGCATTATCAGTTTTAGGGCGTTTTTCATATTGCGAAGTTGTTCTACGTCACAAATTATGGCGAGCCTAGTTTTTAAAAATCGGCGGTCTCACGCGTGGTTTCGAAGATCCATCGTCGAATTTGTAGACCGCAATGCCGGACAAAGAGGAAATGAACGCACCGGGTTTGCCGAATGGGCGGTCCTTGTGCTGTGTCACGCGCGAATTTCCCTTAACGCAATTCAAGTGATGGCGCGTCGCGCGAGAGACGTTGTGTCATGCTAGCAGAGCACATCATTCTTCGCGCGTGGTGTGCGATGGTTTTCGCGTTCTTTGCAATCTTAACGTAATTCTGCAAGTCACAAGGCTCGAATATTATCGTGCAAGGCCGATGTCCGGTCACCTGGCAAGGTGCCGCCTACATGTGGCGTCTCCCGGATAAAAGAGCTTTATGAGCCCTGGAACGTGGAGGGCCTCTGCACGATGCGCAAAGTGTGAGAATACAAAACGGAGCCAGATTAATGTTTCGCGCACCACGGCGGTCTTGCTGGGATCACGTAAAGGGAAGTTCGCGTGTGACGCAGCACAACGATTGCCCTTCTGGTAGCTTCTGGCGCATCCGGTGCGTTCAGTTCCTGTTGCTCCGGCGTCGAGGTCTGGAAATTACACGATGGGTCTTTGAAAATTTGGTTGACATTTTTTTATCTTTCAAAGCTATAGCTCGCCATAATTCGTGACGTAGAACAACTTCGCCATATCAACACTGCAGCCACCCCAAACCAGATAATAAAAAGGTTTATTTAAAATTTCTCAGAGATTTAATTAGTCACAAATTTTTTCTGGTTTGGCCTATAAATTGACTGCGAAAACAAGTGCCTACCTAATATAGTTTTTAACTAAAAAAATCTGTATTGCTTAAAAAAGAACACCCCGTGTGCATAGCACAGTATAATGAGCAAGTGAACGGAGCTATGAACGCACTTTTTCCACCATCTTTCATGTCTCCATATTTTCTAGAGTTAAAATCAAGATGTCAAGTTTTGTCAAGGAGCGGTCAAAATTTTCGGAGCCTTCAACTACTGCATCTCTCATAATCATATGGTAGTTTTGGGACGCTAAGCCTCGCGTATTATAATATTATTATCGCCCAACAAGGAGTACATGCTATGTATTTGTTAAGGATGTGTGAATAGTTAAGTTCAACACCGAATCAATCGTGAACAGAATAGTTATGATACCGATACAATTACAAATATGAATCAAGCACTATTCGAATAATTTATGAATAGTAAGGCAACCGTTTCGTAACAGTTACGTTTTATAACGTCTAACTTGCAAAACATACTCACAAAAAGTTCAACAAGGTGACACTGCGAACAGACAAGAACAAATAGAATTATGTAAACTGATGTAGGTTGTAAGCAGCAGCGACTAAAGCATTCGAGATATTTAGTAACACTAGATTGATATACAGCAGAGACTACAGCATTATCAATGAGGCTCCTTGTCCCAAGCCTTTAAAAAAAACTGACCCAGAACAATTAGGCAATGTTGAACCGAACACCATTATTTCAGATAAGCATTTGATGTTTGAGATAAAAAACCACATCATGGCCTTAGTAGCAAAGGAAGGTAAATATCATTGTTGAATACATGATCTCCAAAAAAGTTTGCATGAACGTGACACTTGCATCTGGTGTTAGCCGTGCAAGCGTGTTCAAGCTAACACTTCTGTAAGCTAATGCAGCCGCAACCCCACCGCCCCGTGAGCAATTACACGGTGATGATGGCGTACAGGGGCGACACGTTTGCTTCGACGAAAAGGTGGTTCTAAGCAATGACGCCTTCATCCAACGATAAGAAAAGTGTCGATAGTCACTTAAAATCTGACGCGGCATGTTATCTCGGTAACCTCGTCGTTAAAACTAGTAAAAAAGACCCCTCGCTGTTTCAGCGCTTTGGTAATATGGTGTTTCCCCGTCCGCACAGGTTATTTAAAAAATATTAGAAAATCTTCGGTGTTTCAAATATGCAATGCTATACGATTCATTATTTGAAATTTTCTAACATTCGCACACGTCTAGTGTTTATATACGGTGTTTAGAAGAAGCTACCATTTGGTGTTATGAAGAAAGCCTGTTTTGTTGTTGTTGTTCTTGTTGTTGTTGTTGTTGTTGTTGCAAGAGAATGAATACAGGTCATGCATCAAAACTAGCTCGAATAAAATGCATTCACATGTGTATTCCTTTCGAGCACACAGACATATCGTTCGTTTGGATGCCCTTTATCTCGCCAATTTTGGGCCTCATATAGAAGCATCACGGCGGCACCTACAGTGGCACCAGCAATACTAACGCTTGATGGTGTGTCCGTTTAAATGCTAATAAAAGTGACACTGAAAATTCCGCGTCCACAATTTTTAAAGGTGATAATTGTGCTATCAAGCAGCTTGCTGAAGCTGTACATGGTCGGTGGCCTGTGGACACCACATTTGAGAGATGTTTGTTTGCAAGGGCAGTGGACGAGGCGGACCAAAAAGCACTCTCATTACAGGGTATGTTAAGTTTTTTTTTCAGTGATAGATACGTTTATGATTTTATGCTCGTCAAAAACAAAACATTTGAAGAGCCAGCATGCCAAATCACGCTGCCATCCAAGTTTACACTATCAGTGAAGCCATATGTGGTTGCTAAGTTCTGCAATTGCTATGTGTTTGTATTCTTCGTTGGGATTACTTTTATTTGGCCCAAGAACTAGACATCCGACTGCTGCGGAAAAACCAAAATGACGATACTTATACGCGACAACGATGATTATGCATAACCAACGAATTATGGTGGTGCTAATGTACAAATAAATAGAATGGGTATGATAAATGTCCACAGTATAGTCGAGAACAGCGCTCCCAGGTGGCACCACTGCCTCACGCAATCGTCTTTACACATCTGGTAACCGTGCAATCGGCTAACAGCTGAGTAGTTTGCGGATAAACTGAAGGCCCTTTTCACCGGACGCCTGTCCCAGGCGGAGTCAGGAAGAGCCATGGTACTGGTTGACGACAAGGTCGACTCTGAGGGCTTCGCGGACTTCACGGGCCTCCAGCTGGCGTACTCGGCGTACAGGCGCCTTCAGCCTCGTGAGCGACTGGCCGTGGTGCCTGACGTGGGGCTCACCGCCGAGCAGACTTTCTTCGTGGCGCACTGCCTGAAGTGGTGCGACCTGATCGCCAAGAGGCGGCCCACGAGCCGCTACTGGCCCGGCCGCTCTCGCTGCATTGTGCCGCTGCGAAACATGCCCGAGTTTGCGGCCGCGTTCTCCTGCTCCAAAGGGGCGCCCATGAACCCCAAATCGAAATGCTCGTTCTGGGCGTAGCAGTAGGTGTATGCAACGTGGATACTCTGCAGCACCCTCGTGTGTTAGGACACAATGCGATATGTTTGTAGCTATCGTATATTGAAATGTATGTGTTATTGAGACTGAATTTGATGACTTGTATCTCGCAAATGTAGGATACTGCAAAGTAAAATCACTGCGTACAAATGCGCGCATGTCTAATAAAAATGTAGGCTTGGACTTGAGTTTTAACTTCTCGTGTTAACACACAAGTGGTTCTTTCGTCATGGGTGTTTCGTCGTGGGTGATCGCAGGTCGAAGGTCGCAAGATCTGAACCTGCGACCTTTGGATCCTGCCCACGGCAAGTTATCTTTTCACCCACTTTTCTTCATATTTACATTACAATTTGGTCTAATATCTTCCCCTATACTTTCCTTGGCATTATTGTCTCTTAGATCTCATATATACATATATATATATATATATATATATATATATATATATATATATATATATATATATATATATATATATATATATATATATATATATATATATATATATATATATATACATATATGTATATATACATATATATATATATATATATATATACATATATACATATATATATACATATATATATATATTTACATATATGTATGTATGTATGTATGTATGTATGTATGCATATGTATATATATGTGTGTGTGTGTGTGTGTGTGTGTATTAGCGGGTACATATAGAAATTAAATTTCTCAAAACAAGATGCACCACTGCCTGCCTACACAATGGCACTTGACAATAGAACTATGCTTATAATGCAAAACGTCGTCATAAATTTGCTGGCTTGCAATGGCGTTACGCCAATAGATTATTTGGAAAGGAGCGCAATTCAAGCTGTCGATACAAAATGAGAACTGGTTACAATGAATTTATGCAGATTAGCGGACAGGCTATATATACAATTGGCACTTTTTAATATGCTTGTGTGTTTTTTAATATGTTCAATATGTAATAAGCCTTTCAGAAAGCAATAAATATTATCTTCCGCAAAACTGGCATGATAAAATTGAGTCGTCACCGATATAAATGTCGTAAGAGCGTTACTTATACTCCTGAAAGGATCGAGCTCATGTAGGCTCATATAAGGAACACTGTGCTCTGCATATCGTAGAGTGTGCCGACAAAACGAGCCTATCATTTCATAGCAGTATTGATACTTCTCCTCTCTATGTGGTTCGCCAGTAGCCACTTATAATGTAACGCAGCTCGAAGCGCTGCTTGAGTGAGAAGCTAGGCGGATCTGTGCGAATTCCGATTGACAATTTTTTTGTGGGTCGGCAGGCTCTTTAAACAATGAATGTATCGACGCAATTTCAGTGTGCCTGCATATTCACTCGTGCACTATGGCGCGTAGCAGGTGCGTCAATTGATAAAGCCTCAGAAACGCATTAAACGCGCGAAAAACGAGCAATTAGACGCTTTCGCAGGCTCGGGCACGCGCGCTCCTAATGCAGACGCTCCGGAGATCTTCAGTACCATAGGACAACAGCGCCGCCGCTACTGTCACCCGCCGGATGCCTAGTTCACACTGAAACATCCGCTTTCTACAGCGACCGAAATTCCCCTGCCGCCGAAACACAGCGTCGTTCGCACTGGACGCGCCCCGCGCCGCCGAATATGCCATCTACTACGGGGCGAACGCGGGATGGATGCGTTGTCACCCGGTTGTTGTCGCAGCTCGCAAACGCTACTACGCTATCCAGTGGTGCATACTTCGACGATTCTCGTACGCAAGAAGCAAGAAAAGACAGTACTGCTTTTTTTGCTGGCAAGTGGCTGTCTTGTAATGCACGAAGAGCAGAAAAACCACCGACGCCAGCGGCGTTGGTGGGTTCGTTTTGCTTTGCAAGGCCGCAACAAGCTCGGTCACGCCAACAGCAAGCTCGGTCACCTCTTTCACAAAATACGGAGGCGAAGTAGGCACAGAGTAGGTTAAACTCCCGTTGGTTTCAACATTCAGTTACGTGCACTGCAGCATAACAAGTGAGTAGGGCTTGGCCGCCATTTTTCAAAATTCCTTGACTAGCGCTCCTATTGGTCCGCGGTGACCGATTCGGCGGCAGACGCCACGAAAATCGGTCCGAGAGCGATCGGCGCGAAAAGGGCCCTTTCGGCGGATCTCGCCGCCGCTGAACCGGCTTCGGAGCACTTTCGGCGGCCGGAATGCTCAGTGTGAACGCGGCCGGAGAATCAGCCGAGATGCGGCGCGGCTGCCTCGTTCAATCTAAGGTCCCTAGATGAAACAAAGGTAGCGACACCCTCCCTTTTCCTCCTCGCTTATTTGCCTGAAGCGCCCCCAAGAAGGGTCAAAGCGTGCATAAAAAAGCGAACGTTTGTGTTCAGTTACTACGGCGGATAGAAACAATTATACCAAATGAGAAGTAAATGAGACCTAGGATAAAAGGTTACTTAGTTGAACATAAGCGGTACAACATAAGAAGAAGCGTGATGTGTGTTACCCAACTGGCAACGTTGTGCAAGTTCATTATTTCACACCATTAGCCATGGCGTCTCGCATCGTACGTCGTAGTTCGTCCAGTTCTCCGAATGTGTTTTGCTCGTGCATCATGTGATGTGGCACAGTTAACGTTCTTTTTGCTGGATCCTATGTCCCTGACTTACCACAGGGCAGCACTTTGTTGTGACGTTGTGACGAGTGATCATAGCCGCTTGTGAACACACAGGGAAAAACCGCGGCCAGTCTGGAACGAACGCCTGACTAGCAGCACTGCGATTACAGCTTTTTCTGAAAAAATACGTCCACTTTCGCAATCAGGATGCCAGGTAATCGTGGTGCATGTTATATTATCTGGGTGACTATGAAAGAGACTGCGGCACCGCAATGCGGGTGCACGCAACTTAACAAGTTAGGGTTCTACGAGTGGGGTGTCCCGGCACTACAGCGTGCGCGTACAGAGACGTTTGTGAGTGACAACAGACACGCACGTTGTACCCTTTGTGACTCATCGCCGCATTCACTGTCCCGAAGTGATGAACTTTGCGACGATGTCGTCGCCCCACCATCAGCGGCAAGTAGCAGAAATGTGCTGGAATACTGAACGATGGGCATTAGAAAAGCGTGATAGTGAGCGCGGCTTTTCCAGCAAACTCGCTGTAGCACTGGTCTTCCCGCATGTTAACTAAATGCTGGCGCACCACTAGCGCTTCTCTGTTGTGCACGGGATTGTGCCGTTTGTAACCGTCATTGTTAACTCGTTCGACAGAGTGGCTGGAGTGGCTACATTCCCGCACACCCGAATACTTTACAGAGTGCACCCGAGCCAGTACGGGCTGAAATTTCAGTCAGAAGCACCGACCAGCACTTCGCCCTCACCTCACCTCCAGCATGCACCCCCACCCTATGCCACCCCTTAGAAAGCAATGGAAGGATCTTGCCAAGGTTCCTTGTTTTAACTAGGGACCTTAGATCTTGCTGCCCTGCCCGCAGTGGAACAATAATATTTAGAATTCCAGTGTAATTTCTTGAGCACTTATTACCATTTAGTGAATATAATCTTAGAGACAGCCCCATAGCTAAACCTTTTTCCACAAAGGTATATGTCCACTTTTTTGGTTAATACTTTAGGCAGCTGTGCAGTGTTCAGCTGTTTCCCGTGATATTCAAAGTACAATGTAGCTGTGGTAACATTTGGGGCTAATTTCAAAGCAAACCAAAAGCTTGACAAGTAGTTGAGCAACCCCCGAAGAACAATAAAGTAAAAAATGTTACTGTAACGTTAACAGACAGCTAGAGATGACAGACGAAGTGTCGAATGCTGCTATTCTGGTGGAAATTGTGAAAACAAAAAACTGCAGATGGGTACGGCTAAGGCGCCCAGATAAAACAAAGTTGCTCAAATAGGAACCTTAGGCGACACATGTAACTGGTAGGGATGATAACTGATACACATACACAAATATAGAATGAGCGGTTATGAAATTATTAAACGTGGAAGTGCACGCTCAATTGAGGGGACGCAAGCAGCGTCAACACAAGAACGCTGGAAGGGGCGTTCGTTCTGCAAAGGACAAAAATAGGGCGCTGATGCATCAATAGATGCACTGAGCTACGTACAACGGCACTATTTCAACATCCTATGCAAATCAGGACACTGTAATGTTAAAGGAACAATGAGGCACAATGTTGACTACAAATATTTATTCTTGTTACTTCGTTACAATCTCTGGCAACATTTTCATAGCAGGCACCTATGAATAAACAAGCATGTCCTGGGCTGTTGCAAAGGCACGCAAACCACACCAAGACATTTCATTTGTCAGTAAACAATAAAACTATGAAGAAAATTGCTGCATGTTTCATTCAATGCAGAACATTGCTTGACCATTGCCTGAACAACAGGTACCAGAGGAAGACTCACCGTTACATTTTTTTCAACATGAACATGCGTGCTTTGAAACATACAATGAATGGCCTAGCAACACACTGTACTGACAATTTGCACAGACACGAATGCCTTAATGGCATGAACAAAGGTGAACATGCAAACCGATTTCCACTACATCTTGTTGTCATATACATGAGGTGGATAACAGCAAGATTCACTGAGTAACTTTCGGATCAATAATATGTGTTTTCAAATATACAGGTGATGACACAGTACAGCATTGAACTAACCATTTCCGCAGACTTCCATACAAATGTCAGCATGGCATCATGAAAGTTAAACAATGCACACTACATCCACAGACGTGTTACAATACAGTTTGTGATGTCACATGACGTACTAGTGAAAGGCGCATTCAATAATGCTTGCAAAAATGACCTGTGTGATTTGAGATGTCTAGTAAAACACTGGAGTAACAATTTTCACAAACTTATACACGAATGTCTGCATGGCAGGAGCACTTCAACGGTGTATGTAAACTGCAGATAAGCTGTTGCCACGTTGTGCGTATGCCTAGAGGACAGTATGGTGAAGTAACGTTTGGAAAAAAACTGCTATTTCCAAAG